AATTTGCATAAACTGAGTGCTCAAAAAACTCAGCTCGCTCCTTGTACCTTGACACTGTTCAGCTTCTGTTGGACTAAAGGACACGACTCAGTGGAATGTGAGTGTTCTTTCTGTGACAGAGGGGTGTTCTGCTGATGGTGAGTCTGTTCTGTGTTTCTGTCGTGTTGGAGATGGTTCATGTTAAACTTTTCAGAGATTATATGTCTGCAGGTCAAACGCACAGACCGTTTATATGAATGAACATATATTCTAGCCTCTTAGCATTTTGGCGGTGAATTACTTCACGGTGCATAGACCTACATCAGCGTATCAGCGTTTTCAGGCGTCCACACAGTGCTGGATCAGATCTGTACTCAGATGAATTTGTGGGAGCTGGAGGCATCACATCGTTCCGTCTCTGGAGCAGTTTTCAATCGGATTAACACTACATCCACAACGAAAATGACTCAAATATGTACTGGTGTGGACAGGGCCTCATCAAAGACAAAGATGCTGTTGTCCTTCTTCCTACAGGATTTGGCGCATTACATACGTCACGACCAAATAGCAGCGATTGGTTAAATAAAAAAAGTACCCGCCTACTGTCGAGCAAACAAATCCTAATGCTGCGAGGTCAGACGGTTTCCACAAAGTGAATCTAGGTTCAAGTACTCAGTTTTGTTACTCATGTAAAAATACAGATACAAAGGTAAGAAGTTACTCAAGCAACCGTATCATATGAACAATTAAAGGATGAAATGTAGTTATTTTGAAAAAGAATTTAGCAGATTCAATTAATCGATTCAACTGACTTCTTCATTTTCCAGCTGCTTTTGTGTTTTTGTGTATTGTGTTGCTCAAAGTTGGGACGGAAATCTCAAATTTACATCTCCGCCATTTCAGCAGGTTTCAAACCATAAAGAAAAGCACTTTTAACTTTTCAATCCAGAACTAAAATGTAATGGAGTAAAAAGTACAGATACCTGCTCTCAAATGAAGTGAAGAAAAGTAGATGGTATCCTCTGTAAAATGTACTTAAGTAACATAAAGATGCCTAAAATTTGCACTTAAGTGTTGTACTTTTACTTGTGTACTTTGTTACCTTCCACCACTGAAGGTTTCACAATCTTTAATAGTTCTGAAATAGATCAAGGTTAGTCATGGTTTAGTTCTGGTTTGGATCTGACCAAGTCCTTTTTTAGACCTGCACTATAGAAATGACTCGATAGTTTGAACATGAATCGCACAGTTCCAGTTTAGGTCATTCTAAATGTTACCGAGGAAAACAAATATTTTCAGAAAAGGTGGTAGTAATTTTTGGAAATGTAATCATTTCTAGAGGTGTCAGTGCCTGTTACAAATCAATACACCATGATTAGGGATGTAACAATATCAAAATATCATGATATCGTGTCGTCAAAACTCTCACAATAATATCGTGGACTGTCACAATATATCGAAATGCAAGGTTTTTCACTTAAAACTTAAAAAAGAGAACTGCATAGGCCAGGATCGTTAACTTAATTTACTAGATAATAAAATAACTATTAAACACTTTTAAATCTTAGTTCTTTAGAATATGACAGTGATTCACACTGAAGACTGGTCAGGGTTAGTCTGATTCATCAGCTGGTCTCACTTCGTGGAAACCGTCTGACCTCACAGCATTAGAATTTGTTCGCTCAACAGAAGGCGGATACTTTTTTATTTAACCAATCACTGCTATTTGGTCATGATGTATGTCATGCACCAAATCCCGTAGGAAATAGGACAATTCTCTTTCTCCTTCTCTTTTTCCTCGAACTCGGGATTCGTTGCCAACACAGAATGTCTGGCTCTTCGCTGATTGGCTCAGACTCGCACTTCTGGGGTTTTTGCAAACTGTCTATTTCGATTCCTGACCAAGTTGCTGGAGAGAAATTAAATTGAGTGGAGGCACTAGGTGGAGTCAGTCCAGCTAAGTCAAGGTATTTAAAAAGGAAAAATTTGCATGTGTACTATCCTGTTAACCTCTTCAAAATATTTTTATTTATTTTTTATTTAACCTTTTATTTAACCAGGAAAAAGTTTCATTGAGATTAAAAATCTCTTTTTCAAGAGCGTCCTGGCCAAGAGGCCACAAAACTACAATTTCAAAACATATAAAAACATACATTCAGTATAAGAGAGCAATCAACACAAATTCAAAGATAGTTAAAACAATTACACCCTGAGGATTCCAGATCTGTTTTTAAAAATCTGTTTTTATAGATTCTAAGGAGACCAGCTCCTCCTCCTCTTTCCAGCCAGTATTGCGATAATTATCGTACTATGAGATGTATATTATGATATATTGTATTATGTTATCATATAATATCAAGATATTTTTACGTCCGTAATCATGATATATCCTGACACTAAAACAAAGGACGATGTTCTGTGATTTATTAATATTTACATGTTTAGTACAATTTCACTTGAACTAAATTTTATGAAATATAATGTTTTTATTTTTTAAATGATGAGAACAGTAAATGGAACTTATTTTTTCATGAAAAACATAACTTTTAAAAATCATTTTGAAAGCATTTTTAATTGATATGAAAATTGCTCAATGAATTATCGTGATATATCTTTTTTTTTAGAACTTCATTGCCAAAAGTGCAGAAATCACATGCAATTTACATTTTAACAAACCATAACAAGTGTTGAGATTAGACTCTAAACCCCAATTATATGTAAATAAAAACAGTAGACAGATGAGACATACAAATAAAAAACAAAACAAAAACAAAGCTCAGTCAAATAGAGACGGCACGTGTGACAATTGCCTTAAAAAAATATAATAAGTTAAAGCTGGACACCTAAATCATTTCTAAACGTAATAATTATACAAACTGACTTGATGACAATGTTTTAACTTTAATGTTTACGCATTAAAAATGTACCTGATGTGTTTTTTTCAGGCAGAATGTAGCTCACCAACAATGCTAGCAGCTATTGTTTTTAGCACAATTCAGCTGCTTCATATCTAATTAGTTACACGAGTTAAGTTATAAGAGGTTAAATAAACAAAATACTAATTAATTCCATGCATTTTACATGATGAATTTGTCACATTATAAGTATTTACAGTGTTGGGGAGTAACAGATTACATGTACCGGCGTTACGCAATCAGATTACAAATGATGAGTAACTGTATTCAGTTACAGTTACTGTTTCAGTGAATAGTAATTGGATTACAGTTACTTTGTTGAAATAAATGGATTACATGGTGGTATTTTCCTGTTTTCACATTTTCATATTTTGGGCCATATCCCATGTCTCCTTCCATACTGCACAAACACCACCAGTCTCCTGTGCGCCTCCAAACCAGGACTAACTCAGGACTAAAACCAGGACTAAACCAGTCCAGGACTAAACCAGGTCTAAACCAAGACTAAAACTAGGACTAAACCAGGACTAAACCAGGTGTAAACTAAGACTAAAACCAGGTCTAAACCAGGACTAAAACTTGGACTAAAACTAGGACTAAACCAGGTCTAAACTAAGACTAAAACCAGGTCTAAACCAGGACTAAACCAGGACTAAAACCAGGACTAAATCCAGGACTAAACCAGGACTAACCCAGGACTAAACCAGGTCTAAAACAGACTAAAACCAGGACTAAACCAGACTAAACCAAAACCAGACTAAAACCAGGTCTAAACCAGGACTAAAACTTGGACTAAAACTAGGACTAAACCAGGTCTAAACTAAGACTAAAACCAGGTCTAAACCAGGACTAAACCAGGACTAAAACCAGGACTAAAACCAGGACTAAATCCAGGACTAAAACCAGGACTAACCCAGGACTAAACCAGGTCTAAATCCAGGACTAAAACCAGGACTAAACCAGGACTAAACTAGGAACTAAAACCAGGTCTAAACCAGGACTAAAACTAGGATTAAACCAGGACTAAACCAGGACTAAACCAGGAACTAAAACCAGGTCTAAACCAGGACTAAACCAGGACTAAAACTAGGATTAAACCAGGACTAAACCAGGTCTAAATCCAGGACTAAAACCAGGACTAAACCAGGACTAAACTAGGAACTAAAACCAGGTCTAAACCAGGACTAAACCAGGACTAAAACTAGGATTAAACCAGGACTAAACCAGGACTAAAACTAGGATTAAACCAGGACTAAACCAGGACTAAACCAGGACTAAAACTAGGATTAAACCAGGACTAAACCAGGACTAAACTAAGAACTAAAACCAGGTCTAAACCAGGACTAAACCAGGACTAAACCAGGACTAAACCAGGACTAAACCAGGAACTAAAACCAGGATAAAACATCTTATGTTAAGATTTCCTAGTCTTTGCTTCTCTACAGTAAACAGTTGCTTATTCATGGGGATTTGGGCTCGACAGACAATTTAAATAGAAGAAACAAGAATTTTCAGGATGTGGTCGCTACATTCATACAGCATGACAAGATCAAGTAATCCAAAGTATTCAGATTACATTACTCTTTAAGTAATTTAATGGATTACGTTACAAACTTCATTTTGGGGTATGTAATCTGTAATCTGTAGGGGAATACATTTTAAAAGTCACCTTCCCAACACTGTGTATTTATCATTTAACGTCATGATGACAAACGATACGATACATTTACATAAATCAGTGCATTTTTAAAAATAACATAATGATGAAATAATTATAATATACAGATTTATATTTATTTTTATCCGATTAATTTACTACATTTTATTTATTACGTTAAAAAATATCTATACATTTACGTTAGAGGATATTTATTTTATTATTTTTTCCCCCGATTTCCTACGGTATGACGACAGCTGACGTTTCGTGACCAACTCGGACGGACAAACTTTTCAACCAATCGAACGCGCCCCAATCTCAGACCTACATACGTCGTGACCAATGAGAGTTCAATTCCTGGTTCGCGTTATCCAATCAGAAGCCGGCGTTCGGTGGAAGAGGCGGGCTCTGGCGCCTGCTGGTTTTGCCCAGTCCGGATGAAGCAGCAGCAGCAGCAGCAGCAATGTGCGAATGTGGCAACCGAGGCGCAGACAGGGAGGGGTGTTAGATCCACCAAAACCGGGGCTTTTTTTGGTCCATTTTCCTTTAACCCTTCATTTTTACAGCCTGCGGTTCATGCTGGATTACGTCTGGAAAGTTATTTCGCGCCGTAATCCGTTGTTTGGTGACCGGGACCCGGAGCGTTTGTGGCACGGATTCCTCCCCGAAAGAAAGAAGCCTCAAAAAATGGGCCGATAACGCAAAGGTGTTGTGCCGTGAAGCGATTATGACTTTGTGGGATTATTTATTTTAATTTATTCCCCCCCTTCCTTTTTACCCTGTCCCCTCGTTTTGTTAATCTTGAAAATTGAACCCACGCCTTGCAGCTTAAATTTGCGAGAACAAGGAGGGTTATACTGTGCTGTACCAAACGGGACAAAAAAAAAAGAGGGACTAAACCATGGAGCAAGCCGGTATCCTGAAAAAGTTCATCCAAACCGTGAAGGAAATGAGCGAGGGAGACGAAGACAGGGGAGAGGACAACTTCGGCAGCGACTTTATGGTAGGTCAAAGCGAACGTGCGTCTTGTATTCCAGTTTTACGCACGGCTTTCACCGCTCCAATCTTGCGTTTCCTCCCGTGAAAAAAACCCACCCAGCCACCGCACCGACCCCTCCCCGTGTCCCGAGCCCGTGTCCGTGCCCCTTGTTCCCGGGCAAGAGGTGAGACAAGCCTCCCCTCGCCTTCCTTTCTCTCCTCCTCCCTTTTTTCCCAGTCTGTACTTTACATGGCGGCCTAGCATTGTTTCGGTATTGGCAAACCCACCGCGCACCGGCTGCATGCTTTTTTAGAAAATAAACAAAATCTCCACTACTTCGTGTCACATTTTACGCCCCGGGTTACGTTTTAAATAATGTAGTTTGACGGGAGATTTTTTTTTTTTTAAACTTGCGTGCGACATCCCTGGAGCCATTACGCACACAACTTCAGCTGCCAAATAAGCAGAAATACCTAAACATTCCCGGTATTTCTCACATCATAACATCGTTCCTTCTCCCGCTGAATCCACAGAGCGCTGGCTGTTTGACCTATATCGGCTAAATCTTGTTTGTAGACTTTACTTGGGTCCCTGGTTAAGTCTAGAGGAAGTCTTGTTCTGTGATATCTCTTATCTAGATCGAGCTTTGATTAGACTTGGAAGATGGCCTACATACTGGGTGATTTTAGCCAATTAGAACACGCTATAGACACTCAATACTTTAAAAAATATTATACAGTATTTCTATTTTATCTGCGGTTGGCAACTTGATAACAACGACAGGAAATAATGGCTTAAAAATGTCCATAACTTGCTTTTTTTCCTAAGGATTTGTCGTTTCTCTGCTGGGATGTTCCACAGTGTGACATTAAACAGCTATAACTTAAATTTATTCAATTACAAATGGTCTTAAAGCTTAAAAATACCAAGAAAACAGGCGATCTGACTGTGAGTGGGGTCGTTTCTTTAGTTTGGTCTAAATGAAAGTAGAAAGGTTTTATGAAGACATTCCCGACAAAATAATAAGCGTCTGACGGACAATACTTTAATAATATTATACAGTATTTCTATTTTGTGTGTGGTTGGCAACTTGTTGGCAACTTGTTAACAACGAGAGGAAATAATGGCTTAAAAACGCACTGGTTTGTGTCCATAACTTGCTTTTTTTTCTGCGGATTTGTCGTTTCTCTGCCTGGGATGTTCCACAGTGTGACATTAAACAGCTATAACTTACATTTATTCAATTACAAGTGGTTTTAAAGCTCAAAAATACCAAGAAAACAGGCGATCTGACTGTGAGCGGGGTCGTTTCTCCACAGATCTGACTTGTAACTTGGTCTAGTTTGATTAAAATGAAAGTAGAAAGGTTTTATGACCACATTCCCGACAAAATAATAAGGGTCTGACGGACAATACTTTTAAAAATATTATACAGTATTTCTATTTTGTGTGTGGTTGGCAACTTGTTAACAACGAGAGGAAATAATGGCTTAAAAACGCACTGGTTTGTGTCCATAACTTGCTTTTTTTTTCTACGGATTTGTCGTTTCTCTGCCTGGGATGTTCCACAGTGTGACATTAATCAGCTATAACTTACATTTATTCAATTACAGGTGATTATACAGCTCGAAAATACCTTGAAAAAGCTTTTTTTTTCTGCGGATTTGTCGTTTCTCTGCCTGGGATGTTCCACAGTGTGACATTGGAACAACTTTAACTTACATTTATTCAATTACAAGTGGTTTTACAGCTCAAAATACCTAAAAATCAAGTTTCTGAGTGTGAGCAGCATCGCCTCTCCACAGATCTGACTTGTAACTTGGTCTAGTTTGGTCTAAATGAAAGTAGAAAGGTTTTATGAAGACATTCCAGACAAAATATTAAGCGTTTGTCGGAGCCTCGACCAGAAACGTTACACTAATTACGTCTAATATTGAAGAATACAAAAAATAAACGGGTCAAATGAAAATATTTTTAGCTCGTCAACTCCTCAGTAACTCTATAATTTTGTATTAGCAGCCACTCAAGTCGTTTGTTTTTGTTTTTGTTTTGACACTCAACAAGGACTTTCCACCACTTGAGAAATAGTTGTCATACCATTTCTAGACGACTGATTCTATGACATTGATTTCTCTTTTAACTGTGTCTTACTGCCAGAGTTACATGGTTATATTTATGTCCCGTCAACGCCCTTTCTTACTATTCCAAACTTTATTTATACTACTTTTGTTCCTTGTTTTGTTTCGCACCAAATCTTCGTCCGTTTCCGTTTTGTCCGTTTCGCTTACTCAGCATTTTGATAAAACGTTTTCTGATCCTGGCCTCATTCTAGTGTTGTTTTGCTTTGTCTTGAATGTTTCACAGTGTGGCTTTAAACGTTTCTATCTTCACGGAGACCGAACCGGACCGAATTACAGTTACGGGTCAGATCTGTGGAGAGGCGAGCCCCGCTCACAGTCCGGACGTGTTTTTCTAGCTGTTTTTGCGCAATAAAACCACCTGTAATTGACTAAATAAAAGTAACGTTGAGCTGTTTAAAGTCATACTGTGGAACATTCCAGGCAGAGCGATGACATCTCCATAGAAACAGGAAGGTGACGGACGTTTTTAGACCTGGACTATAGAAATGACTTTATAGTTTTGACATGAATCGCTCAGTTCCAGTTCAGTTTTTAGTTCGTTTTTTTTTTTTTTTTTAGAACACCAAATATTTTCAGAAGAGGTGGTAGGTTTTTTTTGGAATTTGAATCATTTCCAAACTTGATTGGACTTTTCGACAATTTTTTTTAAATGTTTACTGATCAGAAATGTAACAGAAATTGTGTTTTGGTTTACTTTTTTGCACAATATTTCTGCGTATTTACACTGTCAATCTGTATCTAACAAATTTCAATGCTCACGACTTTTGCTTTTAGCCGAATTCCAGCTTCACTTCACTACTTTCGTCCGGTATTTTCTGAGTTATACTAAGCGAAATGTCAGTTAGACCTCCAAAAGCTATTGATCTGTCATGTTGTTTGAAGATCTTTGGTCCCGATCATGTGAACTCGCGCACACTCCCCTCTCTGTGCTTCCATACTTCTGGTTAGCTGCTTGCTGGAGCTTGCAACATTCTTTCTTGGGCCATTTCATAACATTTCGTTCTAGCTTTCCGAACTGCACTTTTATCAACTCATACAGGGCTCCACCAGTCCGGACAAAGCCGCCGTAGACTGAAGCAAGCAGGTCGCATGCTCTCCAAAAAGGCAGAATGTGTGTAATACTCGGCGAACTAGGTGGGGTTAGTGTTGTGCCCGCGAGCTAAAGTTTTCAGAAATGCAGCGAGTGAAATGATCTGTACCAAAGAGCCCGTATTACGCCGTTTTCCGATCTGCGTTATAATGTTGTTCCCTCATCACAAACTGTACCTGGAGTTGTGTTTTGTTTCATTCACGCATGTTTAACACACAAATAAGTTTCCAAGCTGCAAAGTCCCCCTGAAATGTAGTGAATCTATTTACATATTCTTTAAAAACACATTTTTTTTCATTATATTTATTGTATTAATTAGAGGTGTAACGGTATCGAAGTCTCACGATACAATATTGTCACGGTATGAACCTCACGGTATGATATTTATTGCGATATCGTGGGAAAGCTCACGATATCATGGGGAGGTTCACGATTAAGGATGTAACAATATCCAAATCTCTCTGTACGATATTTTCACGATATACATCTCACGATATGATATTTATTGCGATATTTTGTGAAGGCAAAACTGTGAATATGCTACTTTTTTCTCCTAAAATGCCTTGACAAGACTTAATCCAAAGAACTAAGACAGGCATGTCCAAACTATGGCCCGGGGACCAAATGTGGCCCTCAGACACATTTTTCTTGGCCCTCAGACTTCCAGGTGAATTGGCCCAAATTACCTTGCATCAATTAAAAAAAATATTTTTTTACTGCAAGTTTTTTGAAAAATCTACTTTGATAAAGCTGATATTTAATATTTAGTGTGTGGTTTTAAGGATCTTGAGCATGAATAAAGACTGATGGTTCATTCTAATGTGTTAAACATGCACATATTTCAATTATTCCCTGTATTAAGCCCCAGTCTACAGCCCTCGATCGACCCTCTGCTTCATCTGTGTTTGGAGATGTGGTCCTTGATGAAAAAAGTTTGGACACCCCTGAACTAAGACTTAAAAGTGCTTAGAACTGTTATTTCTTCTTGTAGTCTGCACTGAAATGGAGCAAAGGATCATGGTCTATGTAGTTCCCTCTGTCTTTTTTTAATCTATTGCTGCATCATAACTAAGTCGATATATTGTGATGGTCCACGATATTATTGTGAGATCTTTGGCGATACGATATCACAATATTTTGGTTGTTGTTACATCCCTAGTATTAATTACACATGCAAGTTACAATATATCTCAACACATTTGTTCATGTTGAGCATAAGCAACGAGCTCGGACTTTGAAGCCAGAGGGACGTAATAAATATCGTAGCGTGAGATTTGGATATTGTTGATTATTTGAATATTGTTGATTAATCGAAGACCTGATTTACACCTAGTGAAGTCCTGATTCAGTCCTGGTTTTGTCCTGGTTTAGTCTTGGGTTTTAGTCCTGGTTTAGTCTTGGTTTTAGTCCTGGTTTAGTCTTGGTTTTAGTCCTGGTTTAGTCTTGGTTTAGTCCTGGTTTAGTCCGTATACGGTGCAAAATTCCGGCATCTCGATCAGTGTTTCTTCTCCACAATAAATAATGCCTGTGAATTGATGACAGATTTTTGACAGTAGTAATATCGCAACAAATATCGTACCGTGAGATGTATATCATGAAAATATCGTACAGAGAGATTTGGATATTGTTACATTCCTAATCGTGAACTTTCCCACGATATCGCAATAAATATCGTATCGTGAGGTTCATACCGTGACGATATCGTATCGTGAGACTTGGATATCGTTACACTCATAGTCTGTAGTAAAAGAAGGCTGTGGATGAGTTTGTACTAAATTTAAATTATTCCTTCT